GTTGTTTTCCTCGGGGTGTATCTGCATTCCCTCATTTTTCCTTCCTCCCCGCGTGGGCGTGCAGCTCTAGCTAGCCCCAAACTCTGAGCATAACTGCAAAGCACGGTAGGGCTTGCCACCACAGGAGTGAGCCCCTTTGCCCGTTTGTTGTTTTTAGCGTGCAGCTCTAGCCAGCCCCAAACTCTGAGCAGAACTGCAAAACACAGTACGGCTTACCGCCACAGGAGTGAGCCCCTTCGCCCGTTTGTTGATTTTATTCTCTGTCTTAGCAAATTTAAAATATTCTGATGCTAAAGGCCAGTTGTGGGCTACATTTTCGCGCTGTGCGCATCAGTTTCCCCAGCACCGAGAGTTGCTGCTAGCCGCAAACCCCAGGCCTGGCTGCATAGCATGCAGGGTCTAACCACACTCAGAGCTACGCTTTTGTAAGAGTTGGAATAGCTTTCATGTTTGCTTTTTAATTGGTTCACTTATATGCACATTATCTCCCAAGTCCAGGCTTTTTGGAAGTGTGCCGAACGAGACCACCACCTGTTGGCTCGTGTACGCCAGGTGTATCTTTCCTCGCTACACTTCCACATAGTTATAAAAATTGGAAATGAGATATTATGGTGGAAGGTGGAGGAGTATAGGGCTAAGATGCCCCTTAGGCTCGACGCCCAGATCCGTATGAAACAGGAGAGAAAACAAAAGACATAAAAAAATCCCCTAGGGCATCCCGCATGCATCATTGGAGGGCACTTCGTCAGGTGGTGTTACACAAAGCAAAGCCTCCTCGGCATCAAAAAGCTTCAAGTTTATTTTTGCTTTGGCTGCACATGAAGACTGCCACAAGTCCAGATGACAATACATTATACTGAATTCATCTAGCGTTGCAGACTTTGCGCTGAAACACTGATTTGTCAGGCGTTCTCATCCAAATAGGGCAACCGATATTTTCGTCACTCAATCCACACTTCAGAAAGCATGGAGAGTCACTTGAATACGTGGTAGCTCCTAACTTTGTCGCTCCCTAATGTAGTTTGGTCTGCTAACGACCTGGGTTGTGTAGTGCACAGGGACTACAATAGGGTTCGCTGGTGACCTTAAGAGGGTATCTAGCTGGTGACCTGTAAGAGTTTAACGTGCTTAACGAGCGCAGAAACGTCTTACTATGTAACGACGTAAGGCAATTTATCAGCAAGATAGTATACGCAAACTAGAAGTGTTTGCGAATACCCTAAGATCGGGGCTGGCGATAATGCAGGCACCGGTGGGGAGCACCGTTGCAATCGGGTCAAGGAAGCGAGAACTGTGATTGGGAACGTTTTGAGGAAGTTCGATTGAGAGACTCGAAGGATGACGGGTTATGGATCATTTGGTATTCCTTTATGAGACAGGTGCCGAATGTAGAGGAAGTGCCAGAAGGGCGCCCTACTCGTGCAGCAGGTAGTAGAAGCAGCAGAGAACGCTGTGCTCTTCAGGTTTTGCTCACGAACTCAAGGGTTGTTCACACTAGTGGGACATAGACACGCACAGTTAGAAGGCGAAGAAAGTACGGAAAGGACTTCATCCCCAGGGTGACTATGCGGGCCTTTCACAGCAAAAGCCAACCCATAATCGGTTCTCATGTAGTTGAGTCACGTTGAATCACGTTGAATCGCAATCCCGCACCTTTACTAACAAGAGCAGAAGACATGCGCTGTCAGTAGCACATTAGTACATATTTGCGCAAATCCCCGTGTGCCTAGATCCCATTCGCGGTAGTCAAGTGAGCCTAGGTGTACTCCAGCTAATTATTTTGCAGAGCTAGAGTAGCTTGTCACAGCTTCTGTCGTTGTTATCAGTGGCGACATGACGCTCATCAGCCTTCTTGAGAAAATGACGACTTCGCTATGCAGCATGCAGTACGCAACATATATTCTCAGTGACTAGTCTGCATGCGATAGAGTAGATATACATGCCGCACAGGGAGACAATTTCGATCGCTTGTCACACAGCTTGACTCTAGCAGTGTAGGGCAGCGGAGAACGAGCAACACACCTTCTCCCAAAGGTCGGAAACGTGAGAATAAAACACGATATAAGTGTGAGATTTGAGCCTCTGTAAAGCCACCAGTAGTACTATGTGTATTTAAGGAGGCGAACGACTCGTAGAGGGGCAGCTCTGCACACTCGTCAACTCGGCTGTAAGGTACGATGAGGTGGCCTTGCCTGTCACTACGAATCCTCCTGAAGGCCTAAGCACATAATTTAATTTAGTGTTAGTCACAGACCGTCCCGGGAAAAAACGCTGGTAAGCTGAATTTTTAAATCAGCGGGTTGCATTGTCCATGGTGTGTTGCTGGTCATGCTCGGCAGCGCTTCAAAAGCTTTGGTACACACAACGCAGCTCCGCAACAAAAAGCGATGAATAAGTCCTCACACAAATTTCCACCTTTGTCATTTTACAGATACAGAGCCATAATAGGTGTGACAGCCCAGGCTTATAGAGGGCCTACACCCTTGCTGATCGATGGTGGCAGTCTGGGGGTCACGGGGACCCAACAGCCGAGCGGCACATCAGTTGCTAGGATTTCAAAAAAAAAGTTGAAACGCAAACACAACACAACAAATGCACTTGGAGTTTGAGCTGTGAACCTGATTTATGAGGGTAAATCCACAGATTTAATTGTTTGTTAACGGCGCCGACAGAGACACAAGCTCTCCCGAAGTGCCTTCCTTTTCCCTCCATTCTCCAAAACAGGTGACCTTTGAGTGAAGAACACAGCCAATAACTCATTATAAAATCACACTTTTTCATGTCGCTTGTGTATTTTGCCTTGGGTCTCTGCTTGAGTGCAAATTCATCGCCGTGACTTTTGCGTCGAGCCCTGTCTCCAGCCAAATCGCCGTCCTCGATGTTTCAACTCGAGGATAGTTTTTGACGCCCACCAATTAATATTGTGGATCATATGCCACTTGAAACTTGATGGTTTTTGATCCTACTGCCACTACGAAGGGGTACCCTTCTCATGCCTTTGGAAAAGCCTCTGTCTTATTGTTCTGTAGCTGCATACCTAGCCACCCTTGTTGCAAAAGGGCAAGGGGCTTGAACTTGCCTTTCCCTCTGCCTCCATGCTCTGAACCCTCTCTACCAAAGCGACATATTACTAAATACCAGAATATATCATCTTTGCTTCTTCAATCAGGAGAAATCTACACGGTTGCAGCTACATAGAAAATGAAGCTTACTGAACTGAAGGCCTTCTTAGCCATTGCAATTATTTCCCTCCCTCTAACCAACGCAGAAGCAAAGAAGCCTAATAAGACTGCCAGCGAAAATGCGCCACGAGGAAATGTTGACGGTGTGTGACTCCTTACCACTGTAAATTCAGCCTGGCGGCTGACAGCAATTAGCTTTCATGCAGCGACCTGGTTGAGCCTAATATTCCTGTTATAATTATATAAGCGCTTCAGGTTACCAAGATGAACTCAAGTTATACCTTCTCGACAGGCCCCTTCGACAGGCAAAAGGGGTAGATATTATGGAGCCATCATCTAGTGAGCAAGCCTATCCCCACGTTGCCTACTACGGTTGCCCCGACTGTCCTTTACAGGACAGCTAACGTTCCAGAGTGTGCGGCATTCTGTTTTCTGTGCGCAGTGGCCACTGCCAAATCGAACATGCAAGAGTTAGTCGATGCCCTTGGGGACAAACACCTACTTGAAACTATCGTCAGTAAGCTCTTGAACACATGCGGGTCGATAAGCGTCACTGACTGGCGCCCATTTAGTTTGAATTTTTGCTCTCTTGGCACTTAATTGCTGTCTTCCTCTTGACGTTGTTTACCTCTGAGCAGTCGCCAAGCGGCAAACATGTGCTCAGCTGCAAGCAAGCACTTGTCCAGAACACTTTAAAGCTCTGAATTGCGACGCGCTAAGCATTCCAGATCTACGCGAACTTTTGATCAAAGTAGACGTCCAAATTGGTTCAGCAGAAGGAGCCCCACCGGGCTGCGTCGATGCGCTGCGCAAAGGCCTCATACTCTTTGATTTATTAATCATATTCACACCGCTTAACCAGTTTCAATCAAGTCCTTCAGAGGGACCTCGCAACGCCCTCACTAATCTTTTTAGAGCGTTGAGCATGGGGCCTCCGGAAGGCTCACAAGGAGCGACTCAGCGAACTACTGAAAGCAGCGATATATCCACGGAAGCGTTTATCCAAATGTGAGAAATATTCAGCCTCCAGGATGTGCGAAGAGACCGCACGAGCTGTGATACTTTGGCAAAGTCAGATTGCCCTATCGCGTTAATTGTACTTGTGCGCAGGCATATATTCAAGAAAAGCAAACCAAAGCCGAATCCACATGCTTCCGAGGAAACTGCATTTCACGGTAGCACTCTTGAAAGTGTTTTTCACGGCTTTCCAGCTTCGTATTTGGCGTTTGCAGGAACAGGCGGTCCTCTTGGTGAGCGTTCTTCCACTCAAAAAATGGAAACACTGCAAATTGGTGAAGCGACGCGCTTCTATGTCTGATTTTTCCAAGTAATTGTTGCCGTTCCATTCCGATGCTACGCTCGGCGTTTTGCAGTCTCGCTTTTCATTAATTGGATATATCAAGCTTACGTGCGCTTTGACGAGTTCTTTGGCGGAGAACGTGGAAGCAGGCGTCCATTGGCCCCTCTACGGGCACTGCAGACCAACGGCCATGAACAGAGACTGACGCACTTAAGCAGGATGTGCGGGACAGTGCTTGGCTCTCGTCGAAGAAACTTCAAGCTGCCGCCGAATACTCTAGTTGTTCCTAGAGAGCTTTTTACAAGGACGTCACACCTGGTTGGCCTTCCGCGGGTCTCCTGTGACATGATGACCCAAGCTGCCTTGTCACTGCACCTCGGTAGGAGAAATAACGGATATCAAAGCTGGCGAAGCATTGTAGTGCACAATGAAAGGAAATGCTTGCGCAGGACAAACTTATTAATTCATAGCGGGCTGGAAAACTGGTCGGCTTGTTGAATGCTACCTCTGTAGCCTAAATGTATCACTCTGCATTTGTGCGAATCGCAGCGGAAGTGAATGCGATTGAGCATATAAACAATCTTCAGGGGCTTCTGTCGTCAGAGGAGATGGAGTACTCGGTGCCTTTAGAGCTCTTCGCCGGGGGACCGACGAATTATCGTAGACTGTGTGTTAGCTTTAGGGCTCGCAAAGATGTAGAATCGCTATTGGATACACCTTGTTCTTTCGAGGACACCGTTCTTAGCAGCCTGGAGGCCCGCTCTGAAGGGGTCACTCCTCAAACAGCTGCAGCGGCTTTTCTGGAGTCTACTTCTACTTCCCATGATTCTCTGCTGGAGCCTACTACAGCTCAACAAGAGCCAGTGCAGATTGCAAGTCAAAATGCTGAACTCGCTTTCTTGCTGCTGAGCCTTAGAGGAGGCAACTATGAGGCAGGCGCGCGCCTTCTAGCTGCTGACGGCGGTCCATGTAAGGATTTTCGTGGATAGCAGAGGGTCGCAATTACGTAGCAGCCGTTTTCTTTTTCCTTTTCCACACCTTATTTACTTATGGTGGTGAAAACTCTTGTATCGAATTGTTGTATTATTTCTCAGGGTGGACGCTTCTTTTCCTGATTGACTCGAGGACTTCTTCAAACCTAATAAGTAGCTATGAGCGAGGTAAGTTGCATTGTAAAAGCTTTGTGCAGCAACCCTCTTTGTAAGTGGGATCTTCTGCTGGCTCGCCTTGGCCAATTTCCTGGCCCTTTTGATGCATCTGTGAGTTGCAGCATCCACGCTTTGCAAGAAAGCTCTTAAGAAAATGGGTCGTCATGCTGCCAATACCAGCGAACAGAGCATCACATGCTCTTCAACGTGGAACACGGAGATTTGGGACAAGCAACTACACTGCAAGTCACAGGCTGTTGCCTTGCAGTGCAAAGCTTTGGAAAGCCTGTTCGGCATTTTCAACAAAGGTTAGAGCCACATTTCTATTTCGGTCCGCGAAGGCACAGCTAAGCCGTTATTTTTCGTGCATGCGTCCAGTTTTGTCACATTTCTGATGCGCCGCCCGTGTGGCCTTGTGATCATCAGAGCTTCTACACGTAATTCAAGACTTCTTGAATTCTGTCGCTAAGGAGGCTGCTTGCGGAAGCGACTCTGTGAAATGCCCAAAAAAGCTTCTCTCTTCGCAAGCCCCGTTGACAATTGTAGGGAAGGACCCGAGTCTACTTTCACGTTTCCTCCAACAAAGCCCTTCTGGAGATAGCCTGTTGCGTACATTTGCTCTGATTAGTGGAAACAAATGGAAAGATGCGAAAGGGCTCATTTCAGGAGCTGGTAAGGCACCTAGAGAAGATGACGGAAACAACTAGCGTGTTTGACTGCACCAAGTCTGCTGTGTATGGACCTAGCCTGCTTCTCCACTTTCTTTCCCTTTGCAGATGGGGTCGACAACATCTTCCAGAGCCTTGCTCAGGTAGTCTCACAAAGCAAAACTTCCGTGCTCTTGTCTCGGTGGCTTCCTCGCTCCGTTAAAAGGCTCGTGAAGAAGTTTTTGGGCCGCAAGTACACGAAACAGCACTTTCGCTGTAGGTCGGCTACCCCTGTGCTTATTGTCCCTAGCTTAATGTAGCGGCGAAGGCCACAAGGCAATGCTAGTGGCAGCTTCACGTGGGAAGAAATGTGCGGGGATGCCTATTTTGTTCCTATGCAGTTCTGTCATCAAAGCTCTCTCCGGATTTTTATATGAAACTCCGTTCAAATGTCGACGTTCTCATTCACCCTCTTGTTTTCCTTCATCTAAATCAGATGGCATTTACTCGCTCAGAAAAGTCAGGGGCCCGAAGTCGTGCTGGCGGTCTTTCAGAAAGGCTAGACAATCTTATAGCTGAAACAGCCACATCAGGCCTTCCACAGAAACTAAAGGTTTGTCCATTTCTATTTTATGGCATACAGGGAAGCAAGCCTCAACAAAACAACATGCACCGCTTGTCTAGGTTTTATTAAAACTTGCGAACATGGGTTAAATTTTCAGGAAAAGCTTACTGCTGGAGAGAAGACGACTGTGAAGGATTTTGACGGAATAAACTTTGCGCATGTCGAGCAGCCAAAGCCAAACACATGGCAAAAATACCTCAAGTTGGAGCTCTTAGACAGTATGCATAAGTGGCTTAGACAACCGGAAACCACAGAAAGGATAAAAAACGAGTGCAACGGCGGCAAGGGCTCTAACATTGCAGCGCTTTTTAGGGATTCCATGGATCTCTTAAAGAGCTCTGAAGCAGAGAATCTTACACTAATTGGGAAGGTTGTTAGCCCAAGAGAGACTTCCGTTGGAAAACCATGGGGTTTTAAAAGTGTCTTGAAAAAGTTACTGAGGCTTCCTGCGTACAAAACGCAGCATCACTCGTTCGTTGCAGTCAACGTTAAAATCCCTGAGACCCTCGAGATGGTGCGCGTCCTCGTCAATGTTTACACGCAAAATAAAGGAATTTTTACAAACCAGGAGGTTTTCTTCAGAGCAGTGACGGACCTTTTTGAACACTACGAGCAGAAGAACAGATTGTCATCTGGAAGACCACTTGGGGTAAGAGGTCGTTAAGCAGCTTAAAGAAAGCGACGTTCAAGCCATGCACACAGCAGCACTCTGGTGTTGCATGCATGCATTTTGCTGTTTCATACCCACAGTTATTATCTTTTGCTCTGATGTAGGTTCCTGAGAGCTTACTGGTCCCGCCCCTACACCGCAACTACGCAGCATTGCCGAAGGAAGACCGACTCCAAGCACTTAAAGACACTGCTATGGCTAATTTCTTTCGTCACATTTGGACGCTCATCTTTTCTGTCTCCGCACACAACATTTTGAACGCTGGAAATCTAGACAGTCTTGAGAAGACGTTCTCTGATGAGGCGTGGCAGTTATCAATTAATGATCCCTTCCAGGTAATCCATGCATCAGTAATTCCCTCGAGACAAGTTTCGGTGATTCTAAGGCAGGTAAAAGCTTCAAAAGCCTGGAAGGAAATGTGCATAGGATGCATTTGTCACATGTGCAGGCAAGTTCATTTGGAATGGTTATGATGGGGGGAGACATGGGATTGAAACTGTTCAATGAACTCCTTCCCACGGACCAAAAAAGGATGTTGAAGAAGGCAAAATACGGGTCGCCAACAGTTTTTACAAGCCAGATGCAATTAACTGGCAGTTTGCTCTCCGCCAGCGGCCACTCCGGCTTGGGAATGTTTCTCCATGCCCAAGCAGTCTATTTTGGCGTCATGATTAAGAAGTGGATTCAAAAGCGCAAGGAGGATCGGATCCGTGAAATCATCTCTTGGTTAACTCTGGGCATGTTTTTCGCTTCTTCATTTGTTCAGTAAGCACTCTACACAGCGCAAGTGAAAGCAGTTCACGTTACCGCTAACTTTATTGTATATTTATTAACAAATTAGCCCCTACATCAATTATACTTAGTAACACAATATGCCATGCTTCCTACGATTTTTTCCTATTCCCTTAGAGTAACGGACGGCGTCATGGAAATAACCAACACTGGAAATGAAACGGGCCAAGCCAGCATGACAGGAAGCTGTCCTCCAATGGGTCTCTGTGTCGACAGCAGTGGCAATACATTCATTGCCAACCCCACCGGCTCACCCGCACTTACAGCTCTTCAGGTAGTTATGAAGACAGGGCTTATGGCTAGCATGGCTATGATTGCTGGCCCACTAGTTGCCGTGTACAACATTGCGGTCTCCCACATCCAGATCCTCAGTCGCCTTGAAATGGTGAGTACACCAAAGGGAAGCAGACAGAGTTTGCTCAAGAGTTCTTTCTCTGGTAGAGGCACACCGTATGATAGCAAAAACGATGAATGGACCAAATTTCATTATACCATGATGAAATCGTTCCCGGATCATGCGGCTGCGTTTTGATTTCAGGCTCTTGGAAATACCTTCAAGCAGCTAGTAACTCGACTTTCAAAGAGTAAAACAATCAAAAATATTAAAAAACTGTTTGCAAAAGAAGAGAAACTAGAAAAAGGAAAAAAAGAAGGTGCGGCCAAGGTGAGCAAAAGCCTCGGAGATGAAGTTGAGCAGTCGCTTACTGCATTCTTCCAGGAAAACTTCCACTTCCACGAGCGACAGGAACGGTGTCAGCGCTAAGTCCTGTTGTAAAGCTTAGGATGAGAATCTGGCGCGTCTGCTTTAATGAAATAGTTTTAAGGGCTGTTCAAATTCAGTACGTTGTTACTGAAGTGCGAAAAGAGAACGCCTAGTTCTGCATCTGCAGAGGTAGAGCTTTTCCATCGCTTCAGGCCCCTTCCATTGTTGTTTAGCTTTTAAACGTAAGTTTTAACTGCAGCACTTGCTGGTTCGTTGTTCCTACGTGGGACAAATGAGGGCCACGGCTTGTGAGCGCTCCTGGGTGAGCACACGAACATACTCTATCGATTAAATGCTTAATCTTTCCTATTTGTAACTTTTGGCAGATCCGTTTAACAATGACTAACACTTGCGCAGTAAGTTATAGCCAAACGAAAGTCAGTTACAGCATATGCACGCAAAAGACAATGAAGCCTTTACAGCAGAGTGCGAAAAGATTCAAAAGGCTCTCTTTACTGGATTCTGCTCTGTCGCTCTCGTGAGGCTGCGACAAACATCGAACCCTGCCAAGGCTTCCAATTCAAGACTAAATTAAATGGCGATCTCTCCATGGACTCCTAATGTGTTTAATGCAAAAAGGCACACTAGAGAGTAACACACGAACTCGACAGTAGCTTCAAAAAGACCGACAGAGCAGGCGCCGGGAGACGCTACGGTCGCAGTAGTCCTTTAAATGATGTGGTTGTCACCTGCACCCAGGAATACCTGACCGGCAGACCCGAAGACGGCAGCCAACCACTCTGCAGATTTGAATGAGTCGCTGTACAGAACGAACCTCGGCCCGAGCGCGCCCTTATATGGCTGATATACAGCTCGTAGAGTCAAACATGCTCCAACACAACAGAAAGGACCACCGGTCACAGTCGGTGAGAACAAGAGTCACAAATGTGCTGAGTGATAATCGTCATCTCTGCTGAAGCACAAACGCCACCCAAGCTTCAAAGGCGAGGCGGGGATCACTGTTGAGTCGCTGCATTTTCTTCTTCTCTCATTGCAGTCAGGCTCCCAATCACTGAAGGTGGCTCCATGGAGTTGTAAAAGCAGCGCCATTCCTATATGCTTGCTGCCTGTCTCCTTGCAGCCTAAAACGTCACCATCCTCTACATTCACTCATCTGCAGCAAGACGCAAAATGAAAAGAGAGGCAAATTCTCATGAACCTAAAGGGACAGGAACGACTAGCTAACTCTGCCTTCACTATCTAGTGACAAGCGCCCATCAGTCCAATTGCGGCTGCGTTAATTTGGCGCAAGGTGCTATGTTTAATGTCTCGTTCTATGCTTACCGTCCCAGTCTGCTTCCTGTGCAGTCTCGCCTAAACGCAAATGAGAAAATGTGGAGGGCAACACTAAATACGCCGGTAATGCTCACCAAAACACAGTGACTAGCCCTGCTACTAAGCGAAGCTGAGCTGCTAAGCGCGAAATGTCCCCACACGGTTCTCAACACCGCAAACTTAACAAATCTTATACGGTAAATCAAAACACTCCCTTCGACCATTATAGCATGAATAATGTGCAATCAAGCTAGTTCGCCCTTACCTTCTGCCTGCAGGTCCCCAGTGGCATCATCTGGAGTGTTTGCGTAATCTTCAAAGTCAACTGAAATGGCCGATTCTTGTCTGGTCGGCCGGTGTTTTCCACCAACAGCTTCACCCACTGAATTATCTAGAACTTCTCCCGAAGCTCCTGCCCTGAAGAAACCAAAAAAATAAGCATACACTACTTCCCATATATACTAGAAAACAAGATAGGGAACCAGGGTGTGCACTTTCGGGGCCAGCTAGTAAAATGATACATGATAATGAGCAACTCTTCTGAGCCTCGTACCCCATACTGTTTTTGTAGTACATCCCTCCAGCAGCTCCAAGTACTAAAAGGGCTGCGGCAACCCCTGCTATGGCGTACAATGCAGCATTGCTGCTTCCTGAATGCGCATAAACAAAATTTATATCCATGCCCCTCTAAAAGCCTGCTTATGCTTACAGCTACGAACCTCTCTGTTGCTCATTCTACTGTTGTTATCCTGAGAGGATGAACAGTTCCCTCCGTTTAAATGGACGACTGACCTTCTTCACGCGCAACGCAGCATGATTCGTCCTCTTCAGCTTGAAGGGCGTCTTTGACACACTGCTCTTGATTGTCTTCTGACTGGTCTTTGCAAGATTCTATCAGATGCTTGCAGCATGCTGAATAGCAGTCAACCTTGCATTCGCTCACGCTATCTCTAATCACGCTGCCCCCCACTGTGCACAGCTCACTACACTCTGGTGAAAGTTCGGTGCAATCCTCGCCCGTGTAGCCAGGTTTGCAGACGCAGCTTAGGGCTTCTTGGTCACAAGTAGCATTTCCAGAGCATATTGCCCCTTCAGTGCCGCAAGGCTGTGGAACAATGCACTGTGGTCCACCCCAGCCAGCAAGGCACGTGCACTTTCCTGTTGCGGGATCACATTTTCCATCGTTGCTGCACTCTACGCCAGAGCATAAGTCCACGCAGTTCGCCGCAGGGAATTCGGGAGTGCATTCGCAGGTGTTCGAGCTGTTGCAAACGCCGTTCGGAGCGTTGCAGTCGCTGTCACTCTCACAGCAGTTAGCTTCATGCGTCTCGCAGTTGGAGCCGCTATAACATTTGGGGCATTTGCAATGCCCACTAAGTTGATTGCAAGTGCCACCGTTCAAGCATGTGACCCCAGCACAGCCGCTATTGTCGCACTTGTCCCCGGTGATGGATGGGGCACACTGACAGCTGCTGAAGACGCACTTGCCTTGTGGCGAGTTGCAATCGTTATCTGTTTCACAACAACGAGGATTCTTAGTTTCACAATGATCTCCGGTGAAGCAAGCTGGGCACTTGCACTTGCCAGAAGGCATCTCGCACTGACCACCATTTTCGCAAGTTACTTGATCACACACGCTCGTTTCACAACGCAGACCCGAGAACCCTTCTGGACATTCACAAACGCCAGACGGCATCTTGCACGTGCCGGAATTTTGGCATTGAACGTCGTCACATGCTCCTTTTTCACACGCCGGCCCACTGTAGCCTGAATTACATTTGCACTTGTTGCTGACGCACGATCCTTTGCCGCCACAGTCTGCATTGGAAGCGCAACACCCTGCGACTCGCGTTTCGCAGTTTGAGCCAGAAAAACAAGCAGGGCACTTGCATGTTCCTCCGGGAAGCTCGCACGTGCCGCCGTTTTTACAGGGATTGGAAGAACAAGGCCCAGGAGTTATAGCGTCTGAAGGAGGATCCTTCGCAAGACTAGGATCAGCAGCGCTGAGCGCGGTAAAAGATATAGCCCCATCTACTTTGAAGAGGCAAGTTGGCACAGTGGAATACAGGTTACACGTTCCCTGTTGGGTGCTGGCGCTCTGAGGAATCCAGGAAGACCAGAAAATGGACGAACTGCCGCTGCCCCCAGCGCCAGACGGACTGTCGTCGCTGCTGGCCTCAAAAACGGCCTGTCCACATTCCCCAGCTGTTCCTGTGGATGTGGAAGCTGACGCGAGCTGAGTGCAGACCCCTCCAGAAATTGTGCCGAAAACCACATTCTTCAGTGGTTCTCTTGGAGCTGATTAGGAAACACATAACGCATGGAGATGAAACACAGCATCGAAATACCACAATCCGTGGGCGTCCTATACATTCAAAAAGTGGCAGAGCTAGTTTGCACTCCCCCCAACCCTATCACACTATACAAAGCGCTTTCGTCAGGAGAACTACTCGGATTCTGCGGCTGGAACTCACGGCAAGCTGTTTCGAAGTCCGGCCTTGTGAATGCCGTCACGTAGGTGTAATTGGATGATTCGACAGTCTTGTGGGCTTTTACACAGTACTTCGCCGTTGGGTCGTCTGTTGACTTGATAGTGCAAGAGTCGTTGATGTATGTCTGCGTGTGGTAACCTAGGATCAGGCACTCCGAAGTCGAGTGGTTGAAAGATGCAGGCAGACTCCTGTAGCAAGGCCGATTGGCATCCCAAGGCCAGCACATGCTGGTGCAGCGTGACAATTGCGAACAAAGAAAGGGATCAGTGATGATGCCGGGAGACTTCATAGGACGCGTCGTCTGTGGAGGGGAAAATGGAGGACACCCTACTCCGCTGCCGACGAAATCGTAACCTTTGTGCCCTCCTTGTCCGTGGAAGGCATACGGCTTATAGGCCAACGATCCTTCTTTCTGTGAGGTGTCAAGGAACACCAGGGGGTTTTCCAAAGTCACAAAACTGCAGGCGTTAGGGTCATATTCCGCATCCAGAAGCATGTCTTTATCATACACTGCTTGGTTAAAGGGGCATTTGACAAGGTACCCTGAATACATACTCCAGCCAGACTGGCCCATCGGCACTTCGGCTGTTCCCACAGAAGCAGTAGACGTGCATCCCTGAATTGAGAAAGGCATGGTGTTCCCATGAATTTCGTTTGTAAATCGCTCCACGCTGTCCACGGGGTTTCCTGATCGGTCTACAAAGGCAATATACTTGCCGTAGTTCGGACAGGCCCCCACAGCCATAAGGCGCTGTCCCAAGTAACGCTGAGTGTCAACCTGTGCATCACTCCGCGTGCAATAGCCCTTGCTTGACCGGTCCCACATTGTAGCATAGCCCACTTTGACGCCAGCAGTCTGGCTTCCTGGAACAAACAAAGAACTCCACATAGTGAGCGTGAAATGACTACAAAAGAACAGCATCTCTCGTGCAAGGGCAGTCTTGCCTAATCGTTTTCACGAGACTCTAATGAGACTTTAAGGCGCCAGGTCTTCCTTGCGGTAACTTACGTGGGAGCCATGTGTATGTCTTCCCTTTATATGTGCTGGTCTTGACAGATGAACCGGACTTCGCCCATTCGAGCTGGATGTGATTTGCAGGTATATTAAAACGGTTCATGTAATCATTGGCTGCAGAATTATCCTGCAGTGCTAAAGCAGAAGGTAGGATGAAGAGGGAAAAAATGAGGGGAAAAAATGAGGCCAGAAGGCCACATCGTATCGGTCCACACATTTTGAAATGGAGGCAGACAAATGCTGTTGTTGAAGGGACTTGAAATCACAGCAAGGGCAAACTCCATATAACACGCGTTGTGAAGGTTAAAAAAGGAAGACTTTGTGGACGCTAATACGGTGAGGGGTGAATTAATGTTCTTGCCAAGGCGGCCGTTGTGTGTTTGTCATCACAAGTGAGAGCCAGCGATCCTCCAAAATCGCTTGCAAAAAAAATAGTAGCCTTCAAATAATGCTGAGTCTTGGGCAGGGCCGTGTGTAGTCTAAATGCTGTTTCGGCGCGAGCAGACATGTGGTTGTGTTGGGTTCAAAAGCTCTCTGTGTGTCCGCGGAAACGTGTATCGCAGCGATACAGCAGGGCCTTCAAGTTGAACTGTTCTGAAGAGAGCTCCAACAGCGTGGGAAGTGTCACAGGAAAGAACACAGGGTTGGGAATAATGTAGGAATAAAATTACTTGAATCAGAGGAGTTTTATGCTGGGGAAGAGGAAGAACTTCGTCGAAGCGGACCGATGGAGACCGAGCCAGTCGCTTCAGTGAACGTTGCGCAGGTGAAAATGGCTCGCTTGCTGTCCAGAACAGAGCAAAAGAGCTCCAAAATGAGAAGAAAACCCTTTTAAAACGCAACTCGAATTGATGAAATTGTCGAAATACTCAACATTCCGCGGCTGCAACTGTAGCTAGCCGGCAGCTCGGGCGATCTCCGAGAAAAACGACAATATCTTTTGTTTAGGAAGATTGGAACAATGAATTCAATATATATATATATAACACAGGTGAAATTACGCATGCTCAGCTGAAAATCCTCTTTGTTTGCGGCAGTACAGGTCCAGCGCTAGCTTCGCCTGCACCCTGTGCATGCAACCAGACTGCCAATGAGCACAGAACCTCCTCAATTGAACACTTGCCGCTCCTTCTTCAGATATCATTTACATTTTTATTCTAGATAATCTGGTGAAGCAGGAACAGAGTGTGCAGAGGAGTCATTCAACCCCACATTGGCGTCTGGCTTCGAGGGTGAAATCGACGCTTTCGGTTTTGTCAAGACTCTGTCTTGCGAATTTCTAACAGACAAGTTACGTTGTCTGCACTAAATTTTTGACTCCATGGACAAGAAAACACAACAGAAAGCTGCAGGAAGTTACAGAAAGCTACAGAAAGCTGCGCAGTTTCTGCAGGTTCGAGATGTGTGACGGGATCGAAACATCCCCATTAACCATCCTGCATTCGCCGTACTCAGCTCAAATTGAATACGCGTAAGCCTCACGAAGAGTCATCAGTGGCTCTCTTACAACTCTTGCATTGAAGACCAGCCATGCGCCACGGCCTGCGCGGGCCGCCATAGGATGGCCGGGTCAGTGGTTCGGAACCCCAATCAGCTACAGATTTTCCCCAGTATAAGGCTGCATATGAACTCAAAATTTACTTGCCCGTGTGTTACTAGTTCGTTGCCCTGGTCCGCATATATCAATGATTAATACTACGGAGGGATGGACTAAGCCAACTCGGTAAACGTTTGGTTAGCTTTGCCTGGTGCGTTGCTTCAGTTTTCAGTGAAGCTAGGCTGCTCAACAGAGTCAAAATGCGCGCCTGTTACACTGCAAGGTGCCGAACCACAAGTCACGTTAGCCGGCCCAAATAGGTTCCTTTGAATACAGGAATGTGACAAATAGAATCTCAGGAAAGGGCGGTTCTCTAGAGCCAAAATAGTCTGCTTGGCACTTGAGGTGCCTTTCGCGCAGGAACACACTGCGCATGCATTTCAAGTAGAGAAGTACGCTATCGCGAATTGGGCGCTGACCCGAAGCAGCTACAAACAGCCACTGCTTCCCTCAACTTAGGCTTCCACCACTCAATCTGATTAAGTATTTTAATAAGTTTTACGCAGCATGCTGAGACACGGGCTGTGCATCACTGGGTGTACCAGAAGCCCCAAAGGCAAGGTCCCGCAGCTCCTCCTCAGCCTTCAGGACTGCGCGGCGCGTGTTGGGTGTACCTGCAGCAGCAAGCGCCCCTCCCTTTGGCTTCGACGGCGTCGCTGCTGCTGCTGCATCGGCAGCAGCAAGCGCAGCCGAGGCCGTCACGACGGAGCAGCGGCGGCGAGAAGACACGGGGGAAGCCGACTGGCTGCTAACTCGCCGCCGGGGGGCCTGGCGGACTGGCGAACGGCAGTGCTGCCTCAAGAGCTGCTGCTGCGTTGGTGTCTCAGCCGCTAATGGGGTGCGTGGAGACATTGCGGAGTGGCCCACAGGTGAGGGTTCCCTCGAAGCCATAGGGCTTGACGAGGCGCGGCCTCGGGGAGATCGCAGCGGCGACTGCTTCTCCTGCAGCTCCTTCAGGCTGTGCCGAAAGCCAAGACGCAGAGAGGCACCGTCCGGCAGGGCTGCATCCCCATTTGCTGCTGCGCTGCTGTTGGCCTCGGGGGGCAGGAAGGCGAAGAGGGACTGAGCGATCGCACGGAAAACCATTCGGAGGGAAGGACTACGCTCACGGAGTCTTTGTAGAAGTAAATAATGAGAATATATGCACTAAGTGCATTTCACAGCATGATGCAGGGGGTTAAGAATATTGTTGAGCCTAGGTTGCTTTGTGGACAGTTCAGGATATTCGAACGTGGCTATGTTCATGTCCACAAACACGCCAGAGCAGATTCACACGGCGCGCATGCATGCGCGCATGCATTGCTGCAGCTCACCATGTCTTCCGTGCGCTGTATTGTCAGCCTTTTGTGGATATTGCTTCTCAGGGCAACGGTTTCCTGTGGGCCTGTTGATGCTGCGAGTTGTTCCAGCCATCTATCTCTCTGGGTCTCTTCCTCTTTTCTCTGGTTTTCATCGTAACCCAAAAGCAGCAGCCGCTGCGCGCGTGTCAGTACACGGGAAGCAGGCTGCAGCAGCTGTTGCTGCAGCTGCAGCCACTGGTTCTGGCCCTCGAAAGGGAGCAAGGCCGCCAGCAGCAAACCCTGCACTGTCAAGGGCTGGTGCCTGCAAACAGCAAACAACAAAGTAGAGTCCATTGCATGCATCCATAGTTAAATGAGCTTAACTACTGCTGCCACTGCCGCACATCCACAACGGACACCTCCTGGCACCTCCTTGTGGCAATTCACATTCCTCCCCCTCACCATTTGGACAGTCTGAAGTGCGTGCTGCGAAATGCATGCAGCTGCTCCAGTAAAGCCTTGTCGTCTATATTATCTGCGTCAGTTTCACTTTGATTATGCTGCCCCCAAAGATTCTCCCAAATTGACTGCCCAGGCTCGAGATGTTCAAGGACGTGCAGCTGCTGTCGCCGTGCTGCCAGGTGAAACAGCACCATATCCTGCTGCTGTTGCTGCTGCTGCAGCGCCTCTCCTGCGGTGCTCTGGCGTCTCCTGCTGCTGCTGCGGCAGCGGGCGGCATCCATCGCCGAAGACATTGAGCTGCGTCTGCTGCTGCGAGGAGTCTTTTGAGTCGGCTCACCTGCAGCAGCGGCGGCCTTGGCAGCGGCTGCCACGGGTTCCTCTTCCCGCTGCAGCTGCTGCAGCACGAGTTGCTGTTGTATGCTCACATGCCGCAGGAGCTGCTGCTTCTTCGCTTGCTGGTGGAGCTGCGGGGCCAGGATCCTCTGTCGCAGCCACTTGCGATGCAGTTTCTGTCTCTCTTGCCAGTCTGTCTTTACGTAAACATAAGCTGTGCGGCCCTCAGATGAAACCCACATGTTGCTGCTTATCTGGTGTTTGATCTCCGCTCCTTTTAAATCGAACCGAGTTATCAAATCTGTAAATATGCCCGCAGCACAATGCACGTGCATGCGCGAACTGCACGTAAATTGCTGCTGCGTATTATGGTCCTGACTCAAGTGGTATTCACTCAAGTCAAACCACTTTACGGACAGTTGAAGAAAAACCTGCTCTAGTTCGTGTGCCTCTTTTTGCCTCTCTTGATTTGCATGCACTTTCCAATTTTACGATTAATTGAAGAGTTTCGCCATCACCATCGGCTTACCGTTCCTAAAGGATAGATAGAACCACCATGTTTCTGTCTGCATGAACATGTGGGTGATACTGCACAGGAAACAGCCGCAGCAGCAGTGCACCAATAAGCCACGTGGGCAGCCAAATCGCCACTAACAGATGAAAGAATTGACAACAAAAGTGAATAAATGTCTAGCATTTTGCTTTTGTTAGAAAAGATGCTGAAGGCCAGGTCATCTGCCACGAGAACAGAAGAAGAAAGAGTCTTAACGCAAGAACTGCAACGCGTCTACTGCTGCCACGCATGCAAGAACTGCAAAACTAACTTTGTTTAGCTGCTGCCACGCATGCAAGAACTACAAAGCTGAGTTTGTTTACTAGTTGATCAGTGGCCCCTCCATGGCGGCGTCGAATGAGTATGCGTGGGTCACCCCCTCTAGGTCGACAAACGCGGAAAGGTCATCGTGGGAAAAAGCCACAGCTCGCGCTGGCCTGGACTGAAACAACTCTTGCAGATGTTCCTTCGAAACTTGCTGCTTGTTCTCAGCAGCAGCAGCAGCAGCAGCAGCCTCACCACCAGACCCACTAATCTGCCGCAGACGATCTGAGGCTTCGCGCAGCAGCAGACACCGCTGCGTCTCCAGTGAAAGTCCAAAGGCCTGCGGGCACTTTTCTATGCCTGTGAAAAGCGCATGCAAAAGGCAGCTAAAGTCGCATTCACGTTCAGCTTTCACAGGTACTGTTCTGTGCCACGGAAGCAGTTTCGACAGGGCTCGAAAGCCATTTTAAGGCTCGAAAGTCATTCAGAGCTCTGCACCGTTTGGTCAAACAGTGAGCAGGACTTGTACTGCACGTTAGTAGTGTAAGTTTGGTGCATGCATGCGCAAACATCTGCTACAGCCCGCTGAATGAGGAAGCTACAGGAATATGGCTGAAGCGCAGCGCTGGTGCCTAGTGCTGTCGCTGCTCCACCCTCATCTCGGCAGCAATATTCGGCACTGACAGCAATAAAAACAAATTAGAAAGTAAGCTTTTACCGAGGCAGGCGAGCCAGTCGTGTTCGTAGGCGGCTATGGCGCTGGGGGCGCCCCGTCCACTGCCTAGATCGCAGAAGACGCTGAACTGATCGGCTCCATATTGCTTTGCATATGCCACCACCTGCACGTCAAAAAGGTGTACGTACACCTCAAGAATGTCGGGCGAAGCAGCCTGAAAAGCAGGAGTTTCCGATTGGTAACTGACAAGGGGTGGCCTCGAGGAATGCCCCCTACTTGTTTAATGAAGCTTTCTATCATTTCCCCGTACATTCCCGCAGTGGAAGTGGCAATTTGAGCTGTGTGGCCCCTGTACAGAAACGCTGTGGGCTTGGCTGTGTAGGCCGGATCCACTGCGTGGGCATCAGCAGCAAGAGCGCTGGCTGAGGCCAGCGCCGCCTCAGCGAGATCTCGAGCTGCTTTCTCAGACTCTTCAGCTGTTGGCTTTTCATCTTTAAATCCGAAGCCTGCATGCGGCGGAGTCGGCGGCCGGGCTTCAAAAGTAGGCGTGTGCTGCCGCCGCCTCTGAGTCGCACGACAAGAAAGCACACTGAGCCTTGAGAAAGCGCAGCAAAAGGCCAGCACCAACGGTGCACTAGTACTCTGTAGAAGTTTTTAAAGACAAGTGCAACGCAGCTTCGGGCTAAAGTCCATTGAGGCTCACTGCTGAGCCGCTCGGTGCACTGTGAGGGCTGTGCAGCATCTGCTGCTGCCCGGAAGCAACATAGGGCGCGGAGCAGCACGCAGCTGAGCGCCGCCGCCGCTGCACAGAGGCGGAGGTGGCATAGTTCTGCTTCCGCGGGGGGTCTGGCTGAGAAAGGGGAAATGAAATGCCCTCGTCATCTCCAGGCCTTGAGTCGTGAGTGGAGGCGTGAGTTGACAGCTCCCACACTGCCGCCGGCCCCTCAGCCTGCACAGACAGGCCTGCGTAGCCCACTGCAGCTGCAGTGTGCAGAGGGAAGGCGCTCATCTGGCCCCTAAGTGCAAACAACGCCAAGTTCTCGCTTGCGCGCACTTCCCTCAGGGCGCAGCGAGGCAGCCCGGGCGAATCACACCGGCATGGGGGAATAGTGCAGACAAAAGGGTCCAGCAGCAAATTAGCAGCAGGGAAACTCCGCTGAACACGAGTGCGCAGGACAAGAAGCCCCTGTCACCAAAGATCAGCCTTCATGGCCTGTGTCGGTGCCGCCCTTAAGTCGGGGCACCGTCTTCAGCACTTTGCCGGCAATTATTACTTTTAAATGTCAAGTAAATTCGGAAAGACGCAGCTTTCAGGGAAAATTACATTGAGATGGTCTAGACGCGGGGCTGGTTGTCCGGTTGTGTTCGGTGGGTTTCCGTCGGCCAGCCACCGGAGTTCCCTAGCTCGTTGCGGACTAGAGAAGTATCACGCCAGTTGAATTTCGAGAAAATGTATTAAAAGAAAACGGAGATGGCAATTAAGTGTGGAAGACAACGGAGTTGGACCGACAAGCCAAACAACGACGCTGGTGGCGCCCTGGCCTCGCCGCGCCTCACACTCGAGCGCTAATGCGCATGAGGTGCTACTAAACCGGAAAATAAAGAGCTTTAACGTAACATTTTATCACTTTAATCCTTTTTGGGCAGACTAGCCGGCGATTTCTCGGTCAGTTTCCCCGGCGACCCCGCCTAGCCCGGCGCGCCGGAGCCGAGACGCTGCGACCCAGCAACTGGGGTCCCCCGTGTCCAGCGATTTCACGTTCTAGACAAAAGTGCAGTGCGCCTCGGCCAAAAGAGGCATTTCTACGAGTCTCTGGCTGACTTTGCGAAATAAAGAGCAAGACAACGACTAGAATGACTAGGTTAAAGACTTTCGCGTCGTTTCAGCGTGGAAATGGGCCGACCCGCCGCCTCTGAACGGCGCTCTGCCAGTGGCAGCAGGCGCGGCTGGGTCGCCGTCCGCGCTGCTGCGCGTCAGCCGCCGAAGAAGGAAGCTGCTGCAGCAGCGAGTCCGGAGCTGACTGCGAACTCCGTGTTTGCTTCGCTGGTTTGGCGCTGAACTGCGAACTCCGCCCTCGCCTCACTCGTCGTCGCCGTCCTTGTCGTCGCCGCCCCTGAGCGACTTTCTCTTCACGCGGCCCGGCCGCCCGCCCCCGTACGGCGATGTCAGTGAAAACTCTATGTACTTTTCGGAGTCCACGCGAACCATGAAAGAAGGAATGTCCACGATTTGTTTGCCCACGCGGATGTGCCGCTGGCGAATCAAGCAGCGCGCGTGGTGGATCGACTTCGCCAGCCCCAACTTGAACACGCGCGTCTGCAGCCGCCGTTCCAGAAACTTCTGCACAGTCAGCCCCAGCACGTAGTCCAGTTTCTGTTCGCCCTCGCTGAGCAGCCCCAGCCGGACCATCCGGCGCAGCAGGGCCGTGCCTGCACGCACGCAGCGCGTCCGCAGCTCCAGGAGCCGCTCGCAGCAACCGGCGCCTCGCGATCTGCTGCAGCAGCAGCAGCAGCAGCAGCAGCAGCGACGCACCTTGGAAAATGCGGCGCGGGTCCTTTTCTTCAAGAGTCAGCAGCTCGCGGGCCGCTGAGCGGATCTTCGCGAGCGCATACTGCACCCTCCAGACTTCCCGCTTGTTCTTGAGGCCATACTCGCCCAGCAGCCGCAGCTCCTGGTCCAAGCGCTCCTGCGAAGCCACACACCTCGACAGCTGCCTTTTTTCATTTCTATTTACTTTTTCTTCATTTTTTCCTTATTTCCCACGCAAAAAGCACAAACACGCGCAACTTCCACCCAAAACGACGCAAACATCGACACAGCAGCCTCCCGGGCTGCGTACAGACACTGCAGAGCGCGCGCGCCGCAGGCGGCAAACAAGAAGCAGAAAGCCCCGGAGCTTCCTCTTCGTATTAAAGGACCAAATTCAACGAAAAACAGAATTTCAAAATGCAAAATGGGAAAATAAGCGGCAGCGGGAGCCCGAAGCCTCCCTTGCAGCGCCAACTGCGCGACTGCCGCGGCTGCTGCAGCCCTGGGGAGCCCTCGGGCCCCCCTGTCTCACGAAAACAGCTCAAGAAACCCATTAAGCAATTTTCAACAATTTGCAAATAAAGGGGAGGAGTCCCGTGGCGGATCCCCCCACAGCGCCGCCGCTGCTGCTGCTGCTGCTGCTGCGGGAAAGGAAGGAAGCGCACCTTTTCGAAAGGGCGCTTGGGGTTGCGAGCAGTCTTGCTCTGGTTTCTGTAGCTCTTCGGCATTTTGCAGAAAGTTCGAAGAAACGGCCACAGATGGCTCGAAAAGAGATGGCGGGGAAGCCCCCCGAAAGAGATCTGCGCAGCCAGCTTCCCCACGCGGGCTGCGCCGCCTGCGCATGCGCCCAAAGCCCCAGCACCAGCAGCAACAGCAGCAGCAGAAGCCCTGCTGCTGCGGCTCTCTCTCTCGAATTACATAATTCTATCTTTTTCTGCAGAAGTTGATTTCACTCGGCTTTCTGGGTGTGCTGCAGCGCCAGAGGTGCCGCGAGAGCTGCACTGAAGCCTCCGGGCCCCAGAAACTTCTATTTGAACAAACTTAGTGCAAAAAACATTTTAAATCTTTTTCAAATCCTTTAACTTCCTCGAAAGTTGCAGTCTTCTAGCGCATGAGCCAGTAGAGGCGAATATGCACGAGAACTGGGGCTTTCTGGGACACCCCGGAACCCCTCTTGAATTTTCTTGAATGTTTTTTCATTATTTCGAGTGTATGGACACCTTTTCGCGCAAAAATTGGACTTTTTTCTCCTCTAAAATGACACAAATGACACTCGGCAGTCCGCTGCCTTGGCTGCCGCCAGACTTGAATTCGCCGTGTTACATTCTCTAGGGTGTACGTACACCTGATTCCATACGCATGACTCTTCTGCATTCCCGCTGGCTCTGGCTGCAGCTCTTTCTTGGTATTTCCTCACAATTCATTTTATTTTACAATTTAATATTAAATGAATTATTTCAAAAACTTTTTTGTGGCTTTTTGTCGGCCCCCAGGGCCTCATTTGCTGCCACTTGCTGAGACATTCTGAAGGCAGTTCGGTCCAGAATTTATTCTTTTCTTTTTTCTCGTAAATGCTTTTCACAAACATCTGATTTATTCCTCTTGCTCTTTTTAATTCAATTATAATCCGCCTGAAGCTTTGCCACTAAATTTGGCTGCCACAGCAGCAGCAGCGGCAGCGCGGGAAAGCAGCAGCAGCGCAGCAGCAGCAGCAGCACGGGGTAGCAGCAGCAGCAGCAAATGAGTGTTGAGCAGGCTGCGGGGCCTCGTGAGCTGTCTGTACAGAAGAGCTGCTGCTGCTAGTGGGGACAGAATTATAAAAATCATAAAAGGACTTTTCCAACTTTAAAACAACATTAGAAGCAGCAGAAAATAAAAGTGAGCACAAAATAAAATAGAAGCAGCAGCAAATGCTACACGCAGCAGCAAATTATGCAAGCAGCAGCAAATTCTGCAAGCAGCAGCAAAATCCCAGGAAAGGCTAAAGACCTTTTTGTGGCACTTTGCCAGAAAAGCTTCACAGCTTTTCAAATTCCAGAAGTGTCAGTAAACTGACAAGTCAATGAACAGACACATTCTGCAGAATGATAAGCCCTTCTGCTGCTGCTGCTGCTGCTGCTGTCTTTGCCCTTGCGGAGTGACCCCGGAGTGCAGCAGCTGGGCTTCTTGGGCCTCGTGGACCAGTGGTCCACTCCGTTCATTTTTAATGGACTTTTGAAAATAAATTTAAGATAAAAAAGACCATTATGGCCTCCAAAGAGACCATTCTGGCTGCCCAGTGGTCTTTTCTTGTGGCCTCTGTGGTGGAGTTTCTAATTCTCATTAAAACTTCAAAACAATTAAAATGATAAAGCAAACCTGCAGCTTCGAGGGCCCTGAAAGCCAGCTGCTGCTGGCCTTCAGGTGTATCTACAGCCCCCGCAGGACGCAGCAAACCTCCCGACCAGATTTCTCTTCAAAGCTTTTTCAAAAGATTTACTTTTAGTTTTTTTGAAATGACTCAAAGCCCTGCTGCTTGAGACACTCTGTGGGAGCTGCAGCGACTTGCTGCAGCTAATTAAGCAGCGCAACTGGAGCAAACTAAGTCTTGTGCAATTGTACATATAAGAGGCCCACCATTGCTCCCCGGCAAGGGGTTCTGGCTGGACCCAAGAAGCCTTAAAGGAGTGACATAGCTCAAAAAAGCAAAATGAATCTCTTTTTCATCTTTTTGGACTATTTATCATCTTTATTCCCCGAAGTTGGATGGATTCCAGAGCCCACAAGCCCTCCGGGGCTCCGGGGGCGGCAGCGCCGCGGTTTTTCGCTGCAGCAGCTTTTTAGGTGAACTGCGTTTCGAATTTGCGCAAAATTTGAAGTGATGGGAACAAAGAAGTTCAGTGGCGAATGCCGCGGCGGGTGCTGTCTGCAGGTGTCTGTACACCTCAGACAGAGCAATGTTGGCGCGTGCTCTCGGCAGTCTGCAGAGAGTCTTCTTGTCTGTTCAAAAGCGATTTGTGTTTCCTGCTGAATTAAATGGCATTTGTTTCCAATTTTTGCTGCTGTTGCTGCAGTGGAGGAGCAGTCTGTCCACTTTGCTGCTGGTCGCCTCGGGCAGCCACGCCTCGCCTCTTCGCTTCTCGAGGCACTCCGTGCTTCCAAAATGCAGAACAATGAATTTTGAAAACATTCAAATATTCTCTGAAACGGATTAATGGCGCTTAAATTTGTGGTGTATGCGCAGTTTCAGGAGCCAAAGGCCTGCAGCCACGGCAGTGCCGATCGGCTTCCGTGCTCGGGGCTGTTCTCACTTTCGTTCTTGTTGCTTTTCGCCATTCAACTTGAGAAAAAGATCCTTTTAATGCTTCATAAAGCTGTTTTTGACAATAGAACTTCAGAAACTCTTTGAATTCTCTCCCGAGCTCCAGCTTTCCCTCGCATGTCTGCTGCTCCCAGTGCGTCTTCAGTTCTTCTTTTCCCTCCGCAGCCCCAGAGAAGCTCCAGAGCCACTGGACTGCTTCTTTGTCTCGGAGGTGACCAGTGGACCACTCGAAGGGCTCGGGGGGACCGCAGCTGCTGCGGCCAGCGCTGCGGCTTCCGCTGCTGCTGCTGCTGCTGCTGCAGCGCCTTCTCCGCCTGCTGCCACTTGCTGCGGATTTCTTTGCTTCCAGTTGATGTGCATTTCCCACCTGTCTTCTGGCGAGCAGCAGCAGCAGCTGTAGCAGCTGCAGCAGCCCCTGCAGCAGCAGCACCCGCAGCCGCAGCAGAGGTCAAGGAAGGATGAGTTGATCCGCCCTCGCTGCTGCTGCTGCTGCTGCTGCTGCAGTTCTTCCCCCCGGGCACTTCATGGGGCCTGGGGGGCCCCCATTTGCTGCAAATGAGCGCAGCGAGGCCCGAGCCCGCGGACTTGGAGAGCAGCAGCAGCAGCAGCAGCAGCAGCAGC